GCTGACAAAAACTAAATCTTAAAACCCACACAAGTGCAGCTACTGTAATTCAAAATATCAGAAATCTTCAACATTAGAAAGCTCCTGGCCAGCTGTACTGATGTAGTCATGCCTCTGCTGTTCAATTGAAATCCTATTGAATAATCCTCCCTAAACCTACAGGAGTTTTTGCGAGAGCACTAGAATTAAGCTTGAAGAGCAAAAACTATTCAGGGGATACTGTGCGCCCAGGTCCAACCTAACTTCATTCATTCAAACGTAGATCACAAATACACACAGTTACCTGCAAGTGTTGAGGTGTGTCTGAAGGCTCGGACTTGGGAGTCTGATAGTCCGGTGAGAAGGGAGATGACTGTGTCCATCATGTACTCATCATAGATGATACTGTATTGACACTGGCGCACTAGCACAGAAATGAATTCACAAAAGCTTGATTTGAACTTCTTCCACTGGGGTCCTGCTATGGTTAGAGGGTAGTCACCGCTGTCCTACAGAAGCCACAGAGGGAAGAACATCCGTAAATTCAATGACAAAAATGCAACTACAATTTTCTTTCCTGTAAAAAGTTGGCACGCTCTATTGTCCTTAGAAAATAAAATATCTAAATTGGATATTTAATATAATATGACACTTAGGAAGTTAATGGTAGATATGGCATTGATAGGGGAAAATGTTACCTCATCAAATTCTTCTGTCATTCGTCGGATGATCTCAGAGTTCTGCATATTGCGGAACATTTCTCCACTGACCACACCTGATAAACACAGAGGAGCAAGACAGAAGACAAATCACTAAATGGTCAAGAAGACCGACTTAATGAGAAGAGAGTCCCGTAGATTCAAATGTTATACCTCAACATGCTTAAAGGACCAATCAAAGAGTAGAATAAGTTAAGACACACACATACCTTTACATCCTGAGCACTGGATGAAGAAGTTGATGAGATCTAGTAGCGCAACATCTCTGTCATGCTTGTAAGACTCAATCCAGTCATCAACGACAGACTGCAGGAAAACATTTAAAAATCAGAAATCAACAATGTAGACCAGACGTTTTTTTTTTTCCCCCATGTGACTGAAAACAGATTTTTACAACGCGTCAGTCTCAGAGATCTTGTCATTCATACCTGCATGGCACTCCTGCCCAGCTTCACCACCTCAAACAGCATCATGTTTTCCATGCCATTTTCTTGGTGGTGGCCATTTATCCGGCCTGCTCCCTTCCCTCCTTTGCCTTTCTCCCCTGCGGCCTTCTTCCCCTTCTTTCCACCCTGGGACAGAGCAGAAGACCGTAAGAATCAACACAGCAATTAAGCAACAAGACAAAGCTATCATTTTATTTTACTTGTCACCAATACTGATAACTGAAACATGCAAAATTGTGTTATTTGGCGAGGATGTCCTAATCCAGGCCAAGGCAATTAACGCTTTCTATACCTTTCCTTTAGTTGGGTTTGCAGTCCTTCCATCGAGATCCTCAGAGAAGTCTGTGTCTGAAGAGAATCTGGTATCTGTATCGCTGGTAGACAAAAGCAAATGTAAGAATGAAACTTCACATCGACCTCATCCTAAAAATTAAAGTGGAGGTAAGCACTTACTGAGTATAGGAGAACTCTGATGGTATTTCTGGTGCTGCTATCATTTCTGTAACATCTTCTGGATAACTTCAACTTATGACTGGCTTGAGATCTTCAGAAAATACGAGGCAGGAGAGGTTGCATGTGACCTAGAACATGAAACAGGGTCATTTAGAGATTTAATACACATTTCAACGCAGCATACACAATAGATGTTGTAAAATCAAACATCAACTATGTTTATGTTCACTGAAATCACTTCCTCTGTAGTGAGCAAATGTTTCTTTGCCTTTTCAGAGAAAAAAAACGGTTTCACATGGTAACAGGGGGCGGACACAAATGCTCCTGTCAGCTCAGCTGTCTAGCCATTGGCTCCCTCCCTTTCTCTGCTCCCCCTGGTTTACTGACAACGTCACCCAAGGAACATCAGAGTGTCTTCCTCAATGGCCAAATATGGCACTGCCCTATCCGCCCCATACAGATCTCAACCAACCAAAACACAGTATCAACATCAACAAGATACTGCAGGCCACAGAGAAACTATGGCATGGCTGTGATGTGTAAATTAGTGGCACATACACCGAAAGGGGAAGAGCAGAAAAAGTAACTTTTGAGAGATCAGAATTCTTGCTTTGTCTGTAATTCAGACACTAAATGTAAATGTCCAGTGAGGGAAGTCAGTAAAAGCACCCCGGGGACAACTGCTCACTCTAGAAATGGCAAACTTAAACTCCACCCATCATCGTATGCCCCCCTTTGGGTGCAGTAGGAGTCTTTCAAACCCAGTACACGCAGTGATGAGCTAAAAGTGTGTCATTCTAGATTATAATTGCATTCATTAATAGTGAGAGAAAATTGTCTCCTATTAATCGGATGTAACGTTAGTCACGGGATCCTGTATCACAATATCCAGCACATGATGGCCCACATATCACCAAATTGGCGATCTCACAAAGCCACACACACACACACATATGTGTACATATATATAAATAAATATA